TTTACCATGGTAGAAATGTGTTCAGAAAACTTTAACTTGGGGTCTAGTTTAACACCTAGATCATCAACCAATGTAATTCTCTCAAGAGAACTACCGCAGAGGGTGTAAGGAGCCAGGAAGGGGCTGGAGCGACANAATAAAAAGTTTTTCTTTACTGATTCAATACGGTCCTGATGTATGTTGTACTGAGGGCACCATACACATGAGCCGTATTCTAAAATCGGACGAACAAGCGAGATATAGAGAGTCTTCGTTATATAGGGGTCCTCAAATTCCTTTGACCACCTCTTTATAAACCCAAGCACACCCATGGCTTTATTTACCATGGTAGAAATGTGTTCAGAAAACTTTAACTTGGGGTCTAGTTTAACACCTAGATCATCAACCAATGTAATTCTCTCAAGAGAACTACCGCAGAGGGTGTAAGGAGCCAGGGAGGGGCTGGAGCGATAAAAAGTTATTACATTGCACTTCGAGGCATTAAGTTGTAACATATTTGCACAGCACCATGACTGAAATCTATCGAGATCAGATTGCAAGCGAGAGTGAAATGAAATGTCCTTATACTGGACACAGAGTTTAACATCATCCGCATACATAAGTACTCGAGAATTTGTTAATACAGAAGGCAGGTCATTAATAAAGAGTGTGAAAAGTAAGGGGCCTAAATGGCTACCTTGTGGTACTCCAGAAGTAACCATAACAGGTAAAGATAAGGAGTTTTTGAAAAGGACCCTTTGAGACCTAGAACACAGGTAGCTAGAAATCCATTTCAACAGATTGGGCGGAAACCCTAGAAGGTCGAGCTTTTGTGCAAGAAGAGAATGGTTTACAGAATCGAATGCCTTACTGAACTCAGTGTAAATAACATCCGTCTGCAAGTTACCTTGGAAGCCTTTAATTACAAAGGAGGTGAACTCTAAAAGATTAGTGGTTGTTGATCGTCGCCGTATAAATCCGTGCTGTGCTTGAGATATAAGTGATTTGCAGAGATGCTGCAAGTGCGGAGGTACAAGTTTCTCGAACATGTTAGGAATAGCGGATAACTTAGATATACCTCTATAGTTTTTATCGTCAGACTTGCTACCAAAAAATACCTCTCCTTAATATTTCCTAAGGAAGGTCTACCCCCCTTTCGATCTTCTTACCTATCTATCTCACTTATCAAATTCGTTTCCAGGCGTGTCTCTGAGCCGTGTCATGGACTCATGTGTCGGCCCTTGAGGCAGTCCCGGGCCACTTTTATGGCCGAATTGATTAAATTCAAGTACAAGTAAGGAGCCTTCAGGAGGAGGATGGATGTGCGGACGTTCTACGCTTACTGTTTACGAAGCTGTAAAACTGTTTAGGGTCCTTTGAAAAACGTATCCTGCATCGAAGGAGGTAGTTCCTATAGCATTGAGCATTAAGAACAGTGAAGTTTGACCGAGCTATTAAGTAATTAGAAAGAGAAGAGGGAGAACCAACTTCTTGAGATTTTTTAAATAGTCTTGATTTACATTTTTTAGACTGGATAACTCTTTGGTGAACCAAGGAGGTTTCGCAGATCTTCAGCCTGTACTTTCACCCTGTGTGCACAGTTTTTAACACAGTTCATGTAACATTTTTTACAAACACGGAAGTTACTGCAGTGACGTGTTCATGTCTCGCCTGGTTAGTTTTAAAGCTTAATTCAATAACTCGAAGCATTTGAGCCGATTACGAAAGCAGCGGACGCGTTCAGATAGCCTACCCGCACGATCCGATACATTAGGTCCAATATCTATCGACACTTCGAAAGTAGGATGATAGCAGTCTTCAGGTATAGTGAGCGGGAGTGCTCGTGTTAACAACGCTACGGTCGAATCCGAGACAAAGCACAGATCAAGCAATCGACCCAAGGAGTTTTTTACATGGTTGACTTGAGACAGGGACAGGTCTAATAAGCCATCAATAAACTCATGTCGTGACATGGGCACAAGGTTGTTTGACTCGTTAACCGAAGACCAGACAGT